TCGGAAACTACGAGCGCTACCTGTCGATCAAGCTCACAAAGGCTCACAACATCACTACGGGAAAGGTTCGCTTCGCACAAGTGTTTGGCTGGGCGCAAGACAGCGCTGATACCATATTTTGCTATAGATCTACAAGCATGTCATTGAGAAGGAGCGCAGGGGCGATTACCTCGGCAAGACCGTGCAGGTTGTTCCCCACATCACCGACGGAATACAGAAGTGGATTGAGGACGTGGCCAAGATCCCTGTGGACGAGTCCGGACTGGAGCCCGATGTTTGCATTATTGAGCTCGGTGGCACCGTGGGTGATATCGAGTCTATGCCTTTTGTCGAGGCGCTGGTTCAGCTTCGCCATCGCGCAGGCCGCGGCAACTTTGTCAACATTCACGTCAGCTATGTGCCAGTCATTGGCCAGGAGCAGAAGACCAAGCCAACCCAGCACGCCGTGAAGAGCGTCCGTAGCGCTGGTCTCATCCCTGATCTGGTGAGAAGCATGCTGCCGACTTACTTGAGGCGCATCGAGCTGACATTTGAAAAACAGGTTGCTTGTCGTTGCGAGCTTCCGCTGGACGACGCCACGGTTGCCAAGATTGCCCACCATTGCCAGGTTGACCTGGAACAAGTGGTGAGTCAAGGGCTTTCGCTGGTGCAACCGGTTCATGACATTGACTTGTTCGGCGTAGGTTGCTGTCAGGGATATGGAGACGATCTACCAAGTCCCGATGCTTCTCCATGAGCAGGGTCTCACCACCAGCCTTCGCTCTTTCCTTCGACTGGATCAGCTGCCCCTGAGCGAGGACAGGGTCACGCAGGGTAAGAACTTGTGGAAGACCTGGAACGACACCGTGATGCCGCAAAGGCATCTTGAGACCGTCACCGTTGCTCTCGTTGGCAAGTACATCGAGCTTCATGATGCCTATCTTAGCGTCGTTAAGGCTCTCGAGCACACATGCTATGCACTGCAAGAGGAAGCTTAACCTTGTCTGGGTCGACTCGGAGCACTTGGAAGAGAGTGCGCGGCAGACGGATCCAGCCAAGTTCCACAAGGCCTGGCATGAGGTTCGTCCAGCCCTCCCATGAATCTCTCGCTCACGGTAGCTAATTATTGTGACAGGTCTGCACCGCCTCGGGCATCGTACGTCACACCGTGCAATTTTTAATTGATGCGTTTTGAACCCAGCATTGACTTTGTTCTTAGCTTTGTCCGGGTGGATTCGGCACAAGAGGTATCGAGGGCAAGATCCTTGCTGCCAAGTGGGCGCGCGAGCGGAAGACTCCTTACCTTGGTGTCTGCCTTGGTATGCAAGTTGCGGTGATTGAGGTTTGTCAGACATGATATTGATTGCTGTCTTCCTGCTAATGACCTTTTAGTATGCTCGCCACATTGCCGGCATCACCAAGGCTACGTCGGAGGAGTTCGACGCACAGGCCGAAGAAAAAGCCATCATTTTCATGCCCGAGATTGACAAGACGACCATGGGCGGAAACATGCGTCTTGGAAGCCGACCTACCTTTTTCCAAGATGGTTCTGAGTGGAGCAAGCTGCGCGCGCTCTACGGGGGAGCCTCATCGGTCGACGAGCGCCACCGACACCGTTATGAAGTCAACCCGGAATACATCGAGCGTCTCGAGGCAGCGGGCCTTGACTTTATCGGCCGGGACGACAAGGGCGAGCGAATGGAGATCATCGAGCTCAAGGACCACCCCTTCTTTGTCGGAATCCAATACCATCCCGAATACCTGAGCCGCGTCCTCAAGCCTAGCCCCTGCTTCCTCGGCTTTGTCGCGGCCAGTGCTGGCTGTCTGGACGAGGTGCTGAAGGAGGTCAAGAACCCTAGTACGCAGAGCAGTGGCGAGGGCATCAACGGAACGAACCAGGCTTCTTTCTGAAGCAGCGCGTATCAACAGGCGTTTTAGATTTTGGAACATTATTATATAGGCATAGGCTGTACCGGCGGCATTTGATGATCATTTCTACCCCCTCCTCTTCTGGAATGTCTATACGTACTATCGTGAGTATTGCGCAACGCTGACAGCCAAATCCGTGCGAGCGGGCTGCAATCCACAGCGGAAAGGTTCGGCCTGCACCTAGTGTTCTTGCGAATTGCAGACCATCCTCCTCTACAGGCTTCTGTGGGTATCATGGGATGCTCCAGTCCACAGGAAATGCATCTACCTAGGGTGACGACGTTCGAAACGATTGAGGTGGTCTGGATTTGTTTGTGCATGTCCCTGCATGAAATTCAGTGCGTGACACAGGACAGGTCGAATGCTATACCTACCTTAAGGTACCTACCTAGGGAGGTAGCTAGCTAAGGTTCCCTGGGAACCTACCTTGCGTACCTTATTCACCGAGGGAGGGGGGGGGGCAGCCTGGGTGGCTTGCTCGGTGGTACTGGGCGTCCTTGTCCACGTAAAAAGTGAAATGGATGCAGGCACTTTCGACAAATCACACTGGAAACATTAAACCCAGGATCCCAACCTGGGGCGTCAGTCAGGCACACTTGGGACCCGGTCTGACAGCGGAGAGGGAGAGAGGGAGAGAGAGAGAGAGCAAAGAAAGATGCACACATGCGACCCTCCTCCCCACTCTTCTGCTCTTACGTCGTTCGGTGCCCCATCCTGCATACGTCCGCCTGTCCTCCCGCTGCTTGCCCAAGCTCAGGCCCCTCCTGTCCTTCTCCTTCCTCCCCGGTCCCCTCCCCCCATTGCCCCCCCAAAACCCAACCCAACCGGCGTCAAGCACAGCCAAGATCGAACAGCGGGATCCTCATCTGCTGCATTGTTTGCTCAGCCCAACCGGTGCGCTCGCCCGTCCAGTCTGCTCCATATTCTGTACCTCCTCCCTCACGCACGTCTTTCTTGTCGAGCAACTACAAAGGCCAAACGACGACATCCTGCTCCAGCGCCCTGACGAAGCGATCCCCCTTGGGCACGACGATCGCCGAACCTGAATCTGAACCTGCTTCTGCTTCTGATCTGTGCCTCTTCTCGTTTCTCTTGCGATCCCCGCCCCCATCCTTTCCTTCTCTCATCCACCCACCTCTTTTTTCCACACCATTCGTCTACACACTGCCAATTCGCCCCGTCGTAAATCCCGCCTTGGGCATCTCGTCCGCCCACCCGCCCCTCTCCTCCTCCGCCCCCAACCTCCCTGCCTTTTGCCATGGATTCCCAATGGCAGCAGAGCTACGCTGACTCGGGCGCCTCCTCGCGACGATACAACAACGGCGCTGCTCAAATTCCTCGCGACTACGCTGGTCAGGTCCCCCCCCAAGGTCATAGTCACACCCACAGCCAGGGCCATATCCAGGGCCAGAACCAACCCCCAGCCGGCTTCAAGTACGAGCAGTATCAGCAAAGTCCCGGCGCCGCCCCCCTCTGCTGCTTCGCCCATGGCCTCGCCTCAGGTGCGCGACGGCAACGGCGACGTTGCCATGCAGGACGCCCAGGACCCCTACGCCAACATGAAATATCCCATGAGGCCGCACCACCAGTCTCACCTATCTGGCAGCCGTCCTGCCAACCTGCACTCGCCCCAGGAACCTTCGGCCGCCGCGCAGGGGTACTCCCCCATGGAGGCCTTATCGCCCACGTCTCCCTACGCGGCCAAGTCCCCCCGTCCAAGGTCAATTCGTCAGCCCCCCCGACCAGAGGCAATCGCCCACGAGACAGCAATCCGACTACAACCCTCAGAGTCCCTACTACGCCGGGCGCCAGCAGGCTCCTCAGCTGCCCCCCATCACGCCCTATACCTCGACCCACGATGGATACCCATCCTCGGCTGTCGCCAACCTCGATGGAGCTTTCGCCGCTGCTGATCCCAAGTCACCCCGTCGTCCCGTCGCCGCGCTCAACAAGAGTGTCGTTCCCGAGTTCAAGCCGGTTCGTGCTCTGACCGACCTTCGACCAAAAGTCAGCGCTCAGCCGCCGTTTCGCCGAGCGAACCCCGAAGGGGGCTTTCATCAGTGTAAGAATCAATATGTCACAGAAAGCATTTGCGGAATTACAGCATCCACGGCTAACGTTCGACCATGCAGCCTCTGCAAAGCTCTCACAGTCCACCTTCCGGCCACCTACCGCATCTGCAACCCCAACTTCAAATACGAGTCGTCGCGCAATCCCCGGCGTGTTCTGACCAAACCGAGCAAGGGTGTCAAAAATGACGGTTTCGACAACGAAGACAGCGATTACATCCTTTATGTGAATGATATCCTCGGCTCGGAGGAGGCTGGTCACAAGTATGTCACCACTCGCAGTGCCCAGGGGGGTGCGGTATCGATTGCCTCCATGCGCCGCTTACTGATACGTCTTTGATTAG